GGTCCGAAACGATAGCTGCAAGTGTTCCGCGGGCGCTGAACGCGGCTAACGCGCAGACTCGTGCCCAGAAAGTCCGGCCGAACGTGATAGGAGGATGGGGGTGGAGGAGGAGGAGGAGGAGGAGGAGGAGGGAAGAGGGAAGAGGGGGAGGTGGAGGGGGAGGAGAGGAGGAGGAGGAGGAGGAGCAGGAAATGGACGCGAGCGAACCAGGATACCAAGGATCACGCAATGAAAACAACACGTTGACAACATGATAGCAGAGGAAACATTGATCACTCGCTGATAACAACATTCTAGCGCAAGCAGGGCATCGGACAACAACACGATAACACCACAGTATCATATGATCGAGCTTTGCTATGCCACCATTTTGCCATCAGCTTGTCATTATGTTGTACTGTGGTTGTTATCTTTTTGTTTTCCTAGCAGTACATACTCAACTGGTCGCCATCGCTACCTACCCAGAGCGATCGCCATCGTTACCCCTCTCTTTCCTCGTAACCTCCACGAGCGATTGCCATCGTTCCTTCCGCCAAGCGATCGGAAGGAGGGGATGGGGGAGCTTGCGAAGAGTTTGTATTCATTTGTATACGCCGTTCAAAATAATGGTGTCTCAGTTCGGTTCGGTGACCCACAACAACTTATATGTAGCTTGCACCGCTCGGTTAAGCATGGCGCGCAACAGGTCTCACAACTAGATCAACGCCGCATAAGAACACTTGGCACACTGGCGCGCACTCCTAACACAAACGACAACTATACCTTAGTGTCATCAGCTTCGACCTAGCTGTCTGTACATGGGGTGCAAATTGGATGCACGTCCTTTCGTCGAAAATAGAAATTCCAGGACTGCCGGGGTCCAATCTGCCTCAGGCGCTTTCCTACTTCCACCGTCGAGTCCTGTTTCCTTTCCCTTCTTCTTCTGGTGGGGAGGGGGGCGGACGTCCTATCTGCTTCCAATCTTCTTCCAGTTTCCTGCTTTGCCCGCTTGGTCCGTCCGACGGGTAAGTGGCTCCGATCTACCAGAAGGACCCTCCGCGGCCCGCCGCTCCGCCAACGCGGCGGAGCCCATGCGCGGCACCGGGCCGCCGCCGCCCCGCCTGCGGCGCAGAACGCGGCCCCGTAGGCCATGGCGGCGGCGGGCCCCGCGGGGGGGCCCCCCGCGGAAGGCACCGCCGCGGGCGAGGCCCCGCGGGGCGGCGCTGGGGGGGGGCCGCCCGCTCTGGCGGAGGCGGTCAGGGCGGCGGGCTTCCCTGGGAGGTAAGGGTTCCCATAACGCCACCCTTCCCCTCCTCCTCCTCCTCCTCCTCCTCCTCCTCCTCCTCCTTTTCCTCCTCCTCCTTCTCCTCCTCCTCCTCTTTCTCCTCGCCCTCCTTGTCCTCCTCCTTCTCCTCCTCCTCCTCTTTTCCTCCTCCTTGTCTTCCTCCCCTCCTCCTCCTGCCCTCCCTTCTTCTTTCCTCGTCCTCTTTCTCCTCCGCCTCCTCCGTCTCCTCCTCTCCTCCCTCCCCATCTTCTTCTCCTCTTCTCCTCCTCTCCCCCTCCTCCTTCTCCTTCTCCTCCTCCTCCTCTCTTCCCTCCTCCTCCTCCTCTTCCTCCTCCCTCCTTCACCTCCTCCTCCTCCTCTCCTCCTCCTGTTATCAGCATCATCATCATTTCCAATCCTCCTCCGTCATCATCATCATCATCATCATCATCATCATCATCATCATCATCATCATCATCATCATCATCATCATCATCATCATCATCATCATCATCATCATCATCATCATCATCATCATCATCATCATCATCATCATCATCATCATCATCATCATCATCATCATCAGTATCACCATCATTATCACAATCAGCGTCACCCTTATCATTAGTATCATCATCATCGTCATCATCATCATCATCAGCATCATCATGATCATCATCATCATCATCATCATCATCATCATCATCATCATCATCATCATCACCATCACCATCATCATCATCATCAGCATCAGCATCATCATCATCATCATCATCATCATCATCATGATCATCATCATCATCCCCCCTTCTCTTCTTCCTCCTCCCCCTCCTCCCCCTCCTTCTCCTCCTTCTCCTCCTACTCCTCCCCCTCCTCCTCCTCCTCTCCCTCCTCCTCCTCCTCCTCCATCTCTTCGTCCCCCTCCTCCTCCGTTTTCCCCTTTTCATCTGCTTTCCAGAAGCACCCCTGCTTCTGAGAAGGCGATGGCCTTCTCTATAGATGGAAGGGCTGGCGCTTCTCAGAGGCAGCCTACCTCTAAGAAGCCTCACTCCCTCCCGCTGCCCCACTTTGCGCGCCGCCAATCGCCACCGCCACCCTTCCCTCGTTCTCCCTTCTTTGGGCCTCCCGGGACGCCCTCGCGCCGCCACCGCTGGACTCGCGTCGAAAGTCTGGGCAGAACGCAGCCCTGGGAGAGGTCCGGGGACTAGCAGTATCTGCACCTTTGGGCTGCCCCCAGAAGGGGCGGGGGAGGCAGGGGGGAGGAGGCGGTCGGGCTGGGCCAGGACGAGGATATAATCCGTTCCAGAGCGCTCGGAGCGCTCCTTTGAGCGTGCCGGGGTTCTCTCACGAGGCCGCAGCGCCCGAAGCATCCGCCAGAGCTGCTGGATCTCAGAGATTCTCGACTCATCCTTCGGATGCAACTCCTGGGAGGTCAAGTCCTGATTTTGCCCTGGTCCGAAATCCGGCATAATCCGGCCCCGCTTGATCCGGCTTGATCCCGCTCAATCCCGCTGAATCCCTCCGACAACGAGGCTCACTCCGGTGTGACAGGCCCCCAAATCGGCTTAAAGTCCTCCTTAGGCCTTTCGACGAAGACCTCCCAGTAATTGCGTCTTAACATCCCCGACCGAGTTCGCCCTCGTCCGGGCCTCGTCTGAGGCGGGGCGCCGCACGCGGCGCGTCAAGACGATGACGCTGACCGCGGAGGGCCGCTGGGAGGAGGAGGAGGAGCGCGGCGGGGAGCCGAGGGACGGCACGGGCACACAGACCTGGCATCGCTCGGAAGTGTGCATTGTTCGGGGGCGGCAAAGAGGGGGGTGATGACTACAGTGGGGTCGCGAATCAAGAAACAATGTACTTTTCGTCAGGGGATCCTGGGTTTCTTCGCTCCTCGCGCTGCGCGGTGACTTCCCGCAGCCGTTGAAGGAGCTGCTGCGGTCAGGGTGCTCTGGGTTTCCCCTCAGGTGCACCTCGCGCACGGGCTTGCGAGGATTTCTTGCGGCCGCGCCCGCACCGTAGGGGGGGTGGATATCATGGCGGGGGCCATGATATTTCCCCAGATTTCATGGCGCCTCTTTTTATTTCATTACGTCCCTGGCCCCCCCCCCCCCCCTGGCAGCGCACGTGCCGCCGGCCATGACCTGCCCCCCCCCCCCCTCCCCCCCCCCTTGGACGCCCCCCTCTTGGCCGCCCCTGGCCTGTCCCTCGGCGGGGACCAGCGAAGAGAATCCTGGACCACTCGGCAGCAAAAGCACGCGCGCAGCCGACGCTTCCACGGGGGGAGGGACACACCTCCTCCTCCTCCTCCTCCTCCTCCTCCTCGTCCTCCTCCTCCTCCTCCTTCTCCTCTTCCTCCTCCTCCTCCTCCTACTCCTCCTCCTCCTCCTCCTCCTCCTTCTCCTCCTCCTCCTCCGCCTCCTCCTCCGTCCGAGCGAGGGCGAGCAGACGATCGACGGGCCGCGCGGACTGCTCGGGTCGGTGGTGGGGGCCCCCTGCGCGGCGGCCCATTGCGGCGCCGCCCGGGATCCCGCGCCGACCCGTGCAGCCCGCGCGGACCTCCCGAAGGTGCTGCCCGTGCTTCTGTCGGGGGCCCCTACAGGGGGAATTTTCGACGAAACATAACAAATATTCCAAACCAATATTCCAAAAATGGTCGGGGGACCATTTTTTGGATATCGTTTGACCTTTCTGGGTGGGGTATGTTTTATTTTTCGTCGATCGAAAATTCCCCTGGAGGGGGGCAGGCCCGACTTAAGCCTATGCGGCTTCCTGTCCCTGGAGAGCCACGTCGTCCGACTCCTCCCCATCCCCACTGGGCCATGGTGCCTCGGCCCCCCGTCCAGCTAGCCTCCCGGGTGGGACAGGCCCCGGGAGACCCAGAGGAAGGGGTGCACGCTCCCACTCGGGCGAGTGAGTTGGCCAGGGGGGGTCAAGGCCACGGCAGCGGGGCCCACACGTCCTCCGAGACTGATTTTTGTTTTCAATCCGCGGCCCCAGAGGAGGTCCCGACCCCTGTTCTGGGGGTGGCTTTGCCTCCCGGATCCGTTTTGGAAGGTCCCGGGGCCCCGAAAAGGGCCCCGGAGGCCGAATTCCAGGACCGAGATGTGAGTCCAGGGTTAGGTCAGGCACGTCCTGCTACAGGCGGATTCCCGAAGGAAAGTATGAACCGAGTCACCAAATCTTCGAACATCGTCAACACATATTCGAAACATCTTCCCCACATGATGAACACGACTCTTTTTCAGTGTCCTTCTTGTAGAGGGAACTGCCCTCTGAGGTCTGGGGGTCGGTCCATAGCTTTTGCTTCAGGTTCAGGCCCCTCCCGTCCATGCAAGTAAAGTTCTCCCCCCCCCCCCCCGTCATGATTTTCTCATAACGTCGACCCTCAGAGGTCTCGACCCATACCCCTGGACCTGTTTTCCATCCTGAGTCGCTGTTTGACGGTCCCGAGGGCCAGTGAGGGCCTCCAGAGGCCGAAAATCAGGAACAACAGCTCCCGTCACGATTCATTCGTTGTCCGCGGGGGTCCGGGCTGAAGTGTGGTGTGCGGGGGAGGAGGTGGAGGAGGAGGAGGAGAGGAGGAGGAGGCGGAGGAGGAGGAGGAGGCGGAGGAGGAGGAGGAGGAGGCGGAGGAGGAGGAGGAGGAGGAGGCGGAGGAGGAGGACGAGGAGGCGGAGGACCCCCTCCCCCCCCAGCTTCTGGTGGTGGTGGTGGTGGGAATCGGGCCCCTCATGGAGAGCGGCCCAGCGCTGCCCAGGAGAGCATCACCTGCTCCGACGGGGAGGGCCCTGCGGAGGAGGCCAGCGGGCCGCCGGAGGGCGGCGCGCCCCCCGGGGCCGCGGCGGGCGGCCTGGGCGCCGGGGGCGCGATCTTCGCCATCCGCGAGGAGCTGCTCGTCATCAGGAGCTCTCGCAGGCCTAGAGGTTGACACCAACACCAACATCGGTGTTGTGCCTCCACCGGGGGAGGAAGATCCCGATCTCGGTGATGGTGGTAATACTCTGGCTTCCAAGGTGGCCGAAGTATTGCCACCAACACCGAATTCGAGGATCATCTTCCCCCTGTGAAGGCACCCCCCTGTGTTGGTGTTGGTGCCGATTTCCAGGCCTCCAAAGCTCGGCTCGAGGGTCGGGGGTGGGCAGACCTCCTACCCTGACACGGCGAGTAAGGAGCTGGCCGTTTTCGGTTCGCGAGAGGGCGTCGCGGCCGTCCTTTCTGCGGGTCCGGGTCCGTCGGTTTCGGTCCCAGGCCGTTTTCATTAAGGGGAGGTGTACTAAAGGGAGGAGGAGGAGGACCACGCCGAGAGGAGCAGGAGGGAGGAGGAGGAGGAGGAGGAGGAGGACCACGCCGGCTATCTGAGCGTCTCCAACCACCGGAGGAAGACGCGAAAGGTGCGAAAAGTAGAAAAATACAGAAAAGCGCAAAAGTAGAAACGTGCGAAACGTGCGAAAAGCGTGAAAAGTGCGAAAATGACGAAACGTTCGAAAGGTGCGAAAAGTAGAAACGTGCGAAAAGTGCCAAAAGCACGAAAAGTGCGTAGAGTAGAAACGTGCGAAAAGTACGAATAGTAGAAAAGCGCGAAAGTGCGAAAAGCGCGAAAAGTAGAAACCGCGAAAAGTGCGAAAAGCGCGAAAAGAGCGAAAAGCAAAGCGAAATGTGGGAAAAGCTCGAAAAGCAGCAAATCAAATCATAACATTGAGAAGCGGAAGCCAACAACAAACTGAAACAGTATCTTTTTGCGAGAGGGGCAGCGAGCTCTGCCAGCGCAATAAACCGCGACCCCTTGGCTTAAAACTGCCCGCGCAATAACCGCGCCCCCTGGTTGAAAACTGCAAGCGAAATCTCATCTTCCCCTTGGCTCAAAACTGCCGGCAAACTATTCTCAACACCTGGCTTGGCATTGCCATCGACATATCTTCGCCCCTTCGAAATATCGTCGCCTCCTCGTTCATTACTGCCACCGAAGTATCCGCGCCCCACTCGCCTAAAAACGGCGGGCGAAATGTGATCATCCCCTCGCTCAAAAGGCCGACGCGATGTCCTCCCCCCGGCTTCGAGCTGCCACCGAAAGAGCCTCGCCCCCCGGCTATTGCCAGCGGGATTTCCTCGGCCCGCGGCTGCAAATTGCCAGCGATATATCATCACCCCTGACTTCGAAATGCCGGTAATTACCCTTTGCTTCCAGCTGCCAGCGAGATGTCCTCGCCCCCGCGGCTTAGGCTTGCCAGCGCAATTTTCGACCTCCTCGTTTAAAACTGCTAGCGAAACGTCTTCGCCCCCTCGCCTAAAACTGCCGGCGAAATATCATCACCCCTTCGACTTTTAACTGCCAGCGAAATATCCTCACCTCCTCGCTTAAAACTGCCAGCGACATATTTCACCGCATAGCTTAAAATTGCCAGCGAAATATCACTACCTCTTTGCTTACAACTGCCAGCGAAATAGCCACGCACCCCTCGCTTCAAACTGCCAGCGACATATCCTCACCCCCTCTCTGAAAACTGGCAGCGAAGTATCCTCGCCCCCCGCGAAGATAAAACAGCCGCCGAACGGCTTTGTTAATCTAGTTCCGTGCAGTCCAGTTCAGTTCAGTCAGTCTACCTCGCGACAATCAAATTACGAACCGCGCTCGCAAACAACCCCGACCTGTCGGGCGGGGGAATTCCAGCCCAGGCCGAGAAGTGGAGGCGGATGTTGCGCCAGTTGGTGCAGCGATGAGTGATGCTCGAGGACGGCGGCCGGTGCAAGGCCGCCGGGCGTTCAAATTCCTTTCGCTTGGGTCAGGGGCCTCTTTGGCCAGGGCGTCTCGGAGTCAAGCATGCGGAGTATCGAGCGAGGGCTGTTGTCGTCTATCCCTGGTGGTCTACACCGACTCCGGCGCCGCGTACATGCGGCGCCTGGCGGTGCGAGAGCGGGTGCTGAACGCGAACTTCGCGCTCGCCGACATCTCGTGATCGTCGTTCTCTTCCACTTCCCTGTCGCGTCCTCGTCCTCGTTCTCGTCGTCGTCGTCCTCCTCCTCCTTCTCCTCCTCCTCCTCCCCGATCCATATAATCCCCGTCCCCGCTTTCCCCTTTTTCTCCGTTTTTTGCGCCTAGGACTTGGAGCCAGCCGGGGGGTGAGGCGGCCAGCAACAAGGAAGGGGACAGCAAGTCTTTCGCCGCCGCGGTTGGACGCGCCTCGAACAATCAGTTTTTTTTGTCCGACCTGGGAGTGGCCCGGGAACCGACTGCGAACGGATTTCCATTCGTCCCCGTTCTCTCGGGGGGCCAGTCCAGCGCAGACCCCCTGGCCGCCTCCAGTGCCGGCTGTTTCCGCGTGGGCGCCGCTGCGTGGTGCCTCTGAGCTGTGAACGCTTGGCCGTCCGCGGGCTCCTCCTCGTCGCCTCTGCTCCCTCCCTCTCCTCTGCTCGCTGCTCCTTGTCAGTGCGGGTTGCCACTGACTGCGGCGTCGGGCACATGGCGCGCAGTGCAGAATTCTGGGCCCGCGCTGTGTAGTGGAGGATTCTTGGTTGAACGACCTCCGCAGTCTCACGTTTAATGGCGAGGTTTTGGGGTCGACGCGGTCCGTATTTGCGCGTTTCTTCTGAGGCTGCGCCCCCCGGGCCGCCACTCTTGCAGTTGTGCTTGCTTTCATCGTGATCGCGTTTCTAGCCCCGTGGGATTCGCGTAACTCATCTGCTCTGCTTCCTCCCTCCCGCTCGCGTTGGATTCATAGTCTGGCCGTTTGGGCAATCGGGTTTAGATGAGTCCTTGATGCTCGAGGCGCCCTTCTGCCGTGCGTCGCCCTCTGCTGGACGGGACCCCGTCCCCAAGCTGATTCAAAAAGACTCCGCGATTCCTCCCGCGTGGCTCCCATCGCCCTCCATCCTCATCTTGGCCCCCCTCGTCCTGCCAGTCCCCTGCCGCCGTGCCCCTCTCCCTGTTGCGCCCCCCGCCCCCCCTGCTTCCTGTTTTGAGGCGACGCTCCCCTTCCTTCGCCCCCCGTCCTCCTTGGCGGCCTGTTTTTGTGAGACGTGGCGGGCATGCTGGTGTCAACCGGCCTTCGGCCCATCCCGCCGCCGCACTTTCGCTTGTGGACCAGAGGCCCCTTGGACAGACGATGCGCCCCAAGTTGTGCCAATCGTGCCCGGGTTGTGGCCCGGAGGCCGCTCATGCCTATGCTGGGGGCGTGTTCCGTGAGTTGCGCATGTCCGCTTTCGATGCATGAGAAGGAGCAGGAGGAGGACAACGGACGAGGACAACGAGGACGGCCACGTCGACGACGAGAGGTTTCCTTGACATGCCCGAGGGGCGTTCCGTTACATGCTCTGTGGTTTCCGCATTTTTCTTCTCCCTCAGGGAAAAATCGATGGGGGAGGAAGGGGGAACGGAGATTCCGTGACATGTCAACCCTGGTTTTCTTTGTTCTTGGGTTTCTCGCAAGAAGTTGTTGTTTCAGTTTGTTATTGATTTCCGCCTCTTAATGTTATGATTTGGTATGCTGCTTTCCAAGCTTTTCTCACAATTCGTTTTGCTTTCCACTCTTTTCGCGCTTGTCGCACTTTTCGCGCTTTTCTATTTTTCGCGCGTTTCGCACTTTTCGCACTTTTCGCGTTTTTCTACGTTTCGCACTTTTCTGACTTTTCCTGCTTTTCGGACGTTTCGCACTTTTCGCACTTTTCGCATTTGTCGCGCGTTTCTAGTTTTCGCACTTTTCGCACTTTTCGTACCTTTCTAATGTTCGTGGCGCTCTCCGCCTATGAAGACCCGGATCTAAGCAGCGCAGGAGGAGGAGGAGGAAGAGGAGGAGGAGGAGGAGGAGCGGGGACGAGGCAGGGGGGAAGTACAGTCGAGACGCGTGCCCAGACCTCCCCGCGCAGTGACAGAAGTCGCGACGGGAGTTTTTTTTCGCCATGTTTGGCCTTCAGGGGCCCTCGCCGGGCCTCGGGACCGTCAAAGAACGGCTCAGGATGAAGAAGCGGTCGCCGTGAAGGGGTCCAGGCTCCTGTGGGTCGCGTCGAAGAAAAATCTCGACGTCGGGGGTATGGGATCGAGAGGGACTGAGGGTTGCGCCGCATCGCCGATGCATCGGCGATGCGGCTCGATGTGGAGCAAGATGATCTCCACGCTGGCAGCGCCGGTACGTCGCCGACGTCGCCGATGTATCGCTAATGCATCGCCGATGCATCGGCGATGCGGCGCGATCCTCCGATCCCATCTGCTCGAACCCCACTTGGGAGGCGTCTCTTCGCGGGCTGTCAAGTCCTGTCGCGCACCGGCCACTCCTGGGCGAGCTCCTTGAGGCTAGGTGCCTCGCCGCCGTAGCTTCGGTGTTTGGCTTCGCTGCCCCTGTCTCATGCCAGAACCTTGGTCTCCGAGCGGAAAACCACGAGCTCGGCGGACGACGAACCGTCTGCAGTGGCCTGCTCCGCCACCGGAGGCGCACGTCCCAGGGCGGCGGGAGGCGAAGAACCAAACACGGCTGGATTGGCTGTCCGCGCGATGTTGCTGGATCGGCTCTGCGCCCTCCTGGCGGCGCCTCGGGCGCCATCCCTGGCGCGCTCCGCGCGCCAGGGGCTGGTCCAGCGCCGACCCACGAAATCACGAGCCTGGCGGACGAAAAACGGTCTACGGTAGGTTCGTGCGGCGACGGGGCGCCGGCGACGCCGGCGAAGGCGCTCACGGTTGGAGTTCGCACGACGGCGCGACGCGGAAGCACCCAGGGGCACGGCAGCGCCTCAGGACCCAGGGGGCCTTAACTCTGAACGAGGAGGGCAGCGATCGGTTCAAGGTTGAATGATCGACGCGGTGTCACGAACTTTTGCGCGCGCTGGTGCCGCACGAACCTGCTGTACTCAAGCAGTGGCGAAGCGTCCTGGCTCGCCTATAGCCCCACCAAACAATGTTCTGAGGACCTCTTGTGGTCAGCGCGACATGTACTCAGGAAATTTCTGGCGGAGGCTGTCTTGTTTGAACACATCGGGCTTCTGTTCTAAGAGCATTGCGTTTGTTCCCAACTATGTCTGGATTCTAAGAACATCCCGTGGTAGGACTATAGGAATGCCGGGACGGCCGGTCCCTGCTCAATGTACGGTGAGTTGTGTCATTCAGGAGGGGAAAAAACACACAGACACAATTCATCGGCGATCCCCAGAACATATGGGAAAATATGGGAAGTGGGGGAAGACAACAACCCAGAAGATATGGGAAACTATGGGGGATCTTTTTATTTGTGTGTATTTATTTGTGTGTCCCAGTTCCCCTTCAGTCCCCATGGCGGTTGGCACGCGTATGCCCTCGCGGTCGGACCGAGGCATATGTGATCGGGGTCGGATCGAGGCGGATCCGCCGGCCCCCGGGACGACGCGAGCAGCCCGTGGAGCCTGCCAGGGCGGTGCCATGGGCTTGAATGCCTCACATGATCAGAGGAGGGCAGGGTGACACAAGGGTGACGTTTTTGCCTTTTTCGCCTCCGAGGGGCCTCCTCGTCGCCACGGCTGGACGCCGCGTGAAAAATCGGTGCGTTTGGACCCCGGGAGGGGTCCGGGGACCGATTTTGAGCCGATTTGGCCACCGTTGTCTCACGGCCGTTGTCTCACGTTGCTCTCCTCCGACATGACGACGTGGGCTTCAGCCGTGCTGAGCTGATACATGCGTGGGAGGAGGATGGCCAGTCGTCTCACACGCCTTTTGCACTCCCGGCAGCCCTGGAGCAGGCGCCCCCCATTTCGCCGGGGAAGAGAGAGAGGCGTTGGTTGCGCGGACATTCGAGCGGACGCCGTCGCGCAAGGTCGCGCGTCAGCGCTCTCGTGCCTGCTGTTGCGTGCAGCGTTGGCGGCCCGCGTAAGCCACCTTATGCCATCCTGCGTGAGATCCGTTTCGTGTCGACGTTCAATCCCTGGACACATTTCAGGGTGAGGAGGCCGAACGGTCATTCACTTTCCCTGGGCGCGTGGCTGAAGTGAGGTTCGACGGTGCGGATCGCGTTGTTGCGTTGTTGTCGTCGTCGGTCTCGCCCGCAGCCCGCCGGCGACCCACCCGCACCCCGCCCCGCGGCCCGCCCGGCAACCGATCCGCGATCCGCGACCCACCCCACACCCGCTCCTTCACTCTTGTCCGCAGTGGCTGTGTGTGCCGGCGACGCTGGCGAAGACGTGCAAGGTTGAATTCTGCGACGAGGAAGCACCAAAGGACATGGCAACGCACCAGGGCCCGACGGAGTTCAACCCCGAACGATCGGGGCCCCGATCGATTCCAGGTGGAACGGTCGACGCGGTGTCCAAACCCTCGCGAGCACCGACGTCGCGCGAACTGACCGTGTCTTCGGATGCAGCTCTTGGGAGGTCAAGTTCTGATCTTGCCTTGGCCCGGAATCCGGCTTCATCCACTTTAGTCTCGCTCAATCCGGCTTCATCCGGCTCATTTCGGACTAGTGCCGCGTAATCCGCGGCCTAATCCGGCGTATCAGCCGCGGGGCCTAATCTTCCATAGTTGCAGTAGGGGCGCACATCAAGAAGCCATCTCATTTTCGTCGGGGTAATTACCCTGGGTTTCTTCGTTCCGCGCGCTGCGCGGTGACTTCCCGCTGGAGCTGATTCGTCCAAGATGCTTGGGTTTTTCCTTCAGGTGCACCTCGCGCGCGGGTTTCCAGGGTTGGGGTCTCTTGCGAGGGTTTCTTGCGACCGCGCCCGCACTGCATTCGGCGCCACCCCAACATGCTTATACTATATGTGCGTCGCCCCCCCAGGGGCGACGCGCGCACCGAGAAATTTTATAGTATATGCGTCGTCGCGGGCGCTTTCTGGCCGCACCGCTCGGGAAACGATGACTACAAGGTGGGTGTACCATATGTTCGGCTTGGACGCGCGCCTCCAACGAAAACAGAAAGTACGAGTATGGCTCTGTGCGTCCCGCGTATCGGGTCGCGTGCCGCCCGTCGCCCTCCGGAGGAGTGCCGGGGAGCCGGCGGAGCAGGCGAGGGCGGCCTCCGCGGCGAAGGGCGCGGCGCGTGCAGAGCCGGACGCCGCCGTGGACGTGGAGCAGGTCGGCTCGGGCGGGTGGCGAGGTGAAGTCGAGTCGGGCCTGTCCCTTTACATCGGAAATTGGAGCTTATACATTGCCAGTGGCGGTCTGTTGTTCAATCCCAGGAGGTTTTGAGGGTCGGGGACGACGTCGGGGCGGCGTGGTGTACACTGTTGTTCCCCGTTTTCTCCCGTGGAAGCGACGAACAATGTATACACCATGATCCCGTATACACCAGGATCCGCTTTCTTGTGCGAATTTCAGTGCGGGGCTGTAGAAAACGTCGGTGTATAGAGTCCGGTCCCTCGTCTAACCAATTCCCATCCTCATCCCCATTCCCTTCGGGACCCCCACCAAATTACCACCCCAGTTGGGGATACACCCCTCGATTCCCGAAGGGAACGACCTATATCCCCATCTAGGGGGGTAAATCGGCCAGTGGGGCCCAGACCACGCCGCTGGGGATGGGGATCGGTTAAACGATACTCAGGAATATTCAGAAGCAGCAGAAAAGATAGTCTGGGGACGATTGTTCGACCATCGTTCGCCAGGTTTAGAGCACTGGTAGGCTATGTTTGATTTTTTTTCCAGGATCCGCCTGTGGTAGGACATGCCCGACTTAACGGGAAGGGGGGTTGACCCAAATGGGGGGTGAAGAGGGAGTGCCCTGAAGGAGCCCCGAAGGGCTCCTTCTTGGAACCGGCAGGGACCAACATTGGCCCCACGGTTGCCCTTCAGGGCCTCTCTTCTAGGATGCAACGCCTGTAGGTTAAAATTCTGTGTTGGCGATGGTCTCTTCGCGGTCGATAACCAGCTCAATCTGGGCTCATATGGCTTATTCCATTTTTAATACTTCTTAATTCTCTTTATTCGGACTTACTCCGGCTGAACCCCGGCTTCATTCAACCTAATTTGGTGATGTGGCCTTGCCATCTGGCTTAATCGCCTTCAATCGTTCCAACGAAGATCCCGCACTCTCGCAGAAGTTGCCCTGAACCGTTTCTCCACTCCCCATTCCGGTTCTTCCCCTGACCACCCGCCCGCAGGTCGGCGAGATGGCGTCGGAGCATGGGAGCGACAGCGGCAGCGGGCAGGAGGATCCGGGGCAACGTTGGGGTAGGGGTCGTCGGACGGTCCGAACGGTGATCGGCACCTGGGCTGCTCTTCACCTCTCGGGCGGTCCATCTGTCGAGACTTGACTCACCACCCACCAACCCACCCCAACCCAACCCGAAGGCCCTGATTTGCCCTCCATTTCCAGTGGGGGGGGGTCTGGAACCGTTGAAAAAACACATCTGGAACCCGGACCCCCCCCCAACCCGAAATTCGCGTCTTCGGGTTGGGTTGGGGTGGTCTGGTAGGTAGTCATTGACGTCTCGGGACGGTCTCGTCCGATCTCGGCAGCTCTCTTGCCCCCGGGAGAGGCCTTCCAGCGGCTGCGCCCCGCCGCGCTCGGGGGGCGGGGCCCGGCTCGTCCCGAAGAGGCGCCGGAGGCCCGAGGTGCGACCCGAGAGCCACCACAGGGCACAGGCTCGGGGGGGATGCCTCGACCCATACGAAGCTCGGGAGGGGTCGGGGGTGGACAGAACCCCCAACAGTGACACGACGATTAGTGAATTGTCCGTTTTCGGTTCTCGAGAGGGCGCCGTGTCCGTTATTTTCCAGGCTTGCGCCCGCCAGGTTTGGGCCTCGGGTTGTTTTCACTAAACCACGTTTTACTAAAGGGGGGTCTGTCCAATCCCGAGGGAGGGGACACAACACACACACAGAGACACAGTGAGTCGTCGATCCCCCAGGAAAAATATGGGAAAATGTAGGAGATGGGGGGGGAAGACAAAAGCCCAGGAAGTACGGGAAGACATCAGGAATCCTGTTATTTGTGTGTGTTTATTTTTGTGTGTTCCCGGGCCCCTTCACACACGGAGCCCCAATCGTCAATAGATCGCCGATAGGGGCAAAATAGCCACCTCTTCCATGACCGTGCAGATTCGCCATTGAGGTCCTGTCGCCGATCGATCGGCGATGTATCACCGTTGGAATGTCGAGGCTTTCACCCCTGGGCCGGTCTCCCTTGACGTTGCCCCTAAGAGGAGGTGGGCGACGAGCTGGTGCCGTGGGCCTGGATGCACAAGGCTCGGCGGAAGAGAAGACACGATAGGTTCGTGTCGCCCCCACGCGGCAGCGACGCCGCCGAGGGCGCTCCAGGCTGAACGCCGCCAGCGGCCCAGAATCGGCCATTGTGTTGTGGAAGTCGATTAAGAAGCATGCTGCCAAATCATTTCCAGATGCGTGAAAGATGTTTCAAATATGTTTTTAAACATGTAAGCGAACATGTTTGAGGGCATTTTTGGGAACATGTTTTTACACATTGTTAAAGACATCTTTCATTCAATGATAGGATTGTCAGAGTGCCCATGGTCATAGCATCCACAACCATTGTGGAAGGATCTGGCGAGCGAGATGCCGCGGATCGCTCACGGTGGAACGCTCCACGCGGTGTCAGAGACCAACGCCAGGGCCGCCGCGACACGGGCGCGTGCCGCGCCGGCACCGCTGGCTCCCCCTGGAGAGATCTCGTCGCCATGCCTGGCTATCCTCCTGGCAGGCCCGAGCACGCCCCTGACGAGAGGCCCCCGGGATCGGCTGCACATCCGCATATACCTTCGCCCGGCCCCCCCCCCGCGAGGCGGCCGCCGACTCGCAGAAGGTGGCCGCCGCCGAGTCGCAGAGGCTCGGTCTCGCTTGGTCCCCGTCCCCATCCCCATCCCCATCCCCTTCGAGACCCCCGCCACATTACCACCCCAGTTGGGCATGCACCCCTACAGAAACCCAGAGGGAAGGACCTGCACCCCCGTCGGGGGGAATGTGTGCCGGCCAGTGGTGGGGCCCAGGCCACGCCGCTGTGGATGGGGATCGGTTCCCAGGGATCCGATGTCCTGATTTTCAAGACGGGGCCCCCGGAAGTCTCGACCCATTCCCCAGGACCGGCTTTTCGTCCCGAGTCGTTCTTTGGCGGTCCCGAGGCCTGGCGAGGGCCCCCGGGCGCCGAAATCTGGGAAAAACTCCCGTCTTGATTTTCTCAGTGCGTTGGGTCTCGTCTTGATGTTGTCAACTTCGTCTTGATGTTGTCAATGCGTTGGGGGGCTCGATCTCCAGCGATGCGCAGAGGCCGCCGCCGGCCGCGACCCAGGACGCGGGGGTGCTCGCCGCGGGCCGGGAGGCGCCGCGCCCCGACGCGGGCGGCGCCGCCGCGCCGGGGAGGCGCGACCGCAGGGGCCGCAGCCGGAGCCGCCGCCGGCGGGCCCACGCCCGCGGCGCCGCCGAGGGCCGTCGGGAGGGAAAGACACATGCAGACAAAGAGTCGTCGATGTCTCGGCAGATCTGGGAACCCTCGGTTCTCAGGGGGGAAAACACACGTCGACACAAGAGTCGTCGATATTTCTCAGAGGGGGCAACACACACAGACACAAATGATTTCGATCTCTCCGAAGTGGGGGGAAGACACAGACCCAGAAAGTATGGAACAATATGGGGAGATCCGTTATTTGTGTGTGTGTGTTTATTTCTTGGTGTATTCCAGGGCCCCTTCAGGCCGGGCGAGCGCGCTGCCGAAGCCGATGCCGGCGGGCCTGCCGCCGCGGCGGCCACGGCGCGCGCGGGGGTGCTTCTCCGACCTCGTCACGGTGCCGCGCAAGGCGTGCAGGCCGGTGCCGGCGATGGTCGGGTGCTGCCCCCTCTCCCTGATGATCTCGACGCTGCCCCAGGCCGGCAAGAAGATCCGCGGCAGCGTCCGGCTGAGCATTCCGGCGGAGAACATCATAGAGGCGATGCAGGTGCACGTGGAGCACCTGCACCGCTCCGCCGGGCTGTGGCAGGGCCCCGAGGACGAGGACGAGGTCGAGGCCGATGACGCGCTTGCCAGGGAGGCAGCTCAGAATCCTCAGGCGGCGCTGGCTGGGGGACTTTCGATGGAGCCTGCGGAAGCCAAGGCAGCCACGCCGCCAGCGGTGAACGACAGTGAGCTTCAGGCGATCGCCACCCACGGCGTTGTCGCGCCGCCGCAGCCGCCGCCCAGCGGCGCCTCGGAGCTGCGGCGGCCGCCCCTCGGCAAGGACGGGTTGGAGACCAGCGCCAGTGGGCCTGCGGCGCAGCGCTCGGAGCTGGCACCGCCGCCATTCGGCGGTGAGCCCACAGCTGCGGGGAAGATGGTGGCGGCACCGTCGCCGCGTCCAGAGCTAGTACGGCCGCCGTTCAGCAAGGGCGGGGTGGAGGCCACCGCCAACGATCTCACGGTGGCGCCGCCGCGCCCGGAGCTGGTACAGCCCTCGTTCAGCCAAGGCGGAGTGAATGTTGCCGCCAGCGGGCCCATGGTGGCGCCGCCACGCCCAGATCTAGCACGGCCCCCCTTCAGCAAGGGCGGAGGAGATGCCTCTGCTAATGGGCTTGTTGTGGCGCCGCCGCGCCCACAGCTTGCACAGGGCGGAGTGGACGCCACCGCTAAGGCTGTCGTGGTGGCGCCGCTGCGCCCGCAGTTAGGACGGCCACCGCTTGGCATCGGTGGAGTAGAGGCCACCGCTAATGGTCTCACGGTGGCGCCGCCTTGCTCGGAGCTTGCACTGCCACCTCTCAGCATGGACAAAGTGGTGGCGATCAGGCCTATGATGGCACCGCCACGTCCAGAGGCGACGCAGCCGTTGTTTAGCAATGGCTCAGCAGAGGCCATCTCCAGCAGGCCCATGTTACACGTGCTGCCACTACGTCCGGAGTTGGCACGGCCACTGTTCAGCAAGGGCGGAGTGGTAGCCACCGCCAGCGGGCCCATGGCGCCGCCGCCCCCCCCAGCTCTGGCACAGCCGCCGCTCAGCCAAGGCGGAGTGCTGGCCACGGCCAGCAGGTCCATGGTGGCGCCGCCGCGTCCAGATCTTTCACGGCCGCCGTTCAGCAAGGGCGGAGCGGATGCCACTGCTACTGGGCTCGTTGTGGCGCCGCCGCGCCCACAGCTAGCGCGGCCGCAGTTCAGCCAGGGTGGAGTGGAGGCTAATACCTCTGTTGGGAAGACGTCGACGCCGCTGGGCCCCGAGCTGGCACGGCCTGCGATCAGCAATGGCGGAGGGAATGCCACCGCCAGCGGGCCCATGGTGGTGCCGCCGCGCCCAGAGCCAGTACAGCCCCCATCCAGCCAGGGCGGGGTGGAGGCTACTGCTGATCGGGTGGCGCCGCCGCGTCCACAGCTTGCACAGCCAGGGCCTATGCTGCCGCCGCCGCGCCCAGCCCTGGCACCCTCGCCCTTTCGACAGGGCGGAGTGGAGTTCACCGCCGGCGCGCCCATGGTGGCGCCGCCGCGCCCGGAGCTGGAGCGGCTCCCGTTCAGCAAGGGCGGAGCGGTGGCCACCGCCACCGGGCCTGCAGCGCCGCCGCCACGCCCGGAGGCTGCACAGCTGCCGTCGAGCGATGGCCGGGCCCAGGCCACCGCCAGCGGGTCCACGGCGCCGCCGCGCCTGGATCTGGCACGGCCACCGTTCCGCAAGGGCGGAGCGGATGCCATCGCCAGTGGGCCCACGGTGCCGTCGCCTCGCCCAGACCTGGCACGGCCGCCGTTCAGCAAGGGCGGAGCGGAGGCCACCACCAGCGGGCCCATGGTCGTGCGGCCTCCGCGGCCACGGATGCAGGTTGGAGGGGGGGGAACGGGTAGCACAGTGGTCATGGTGGCGAGTGAGGGGGGCAGCATTTTGCGACCGAGGCTGGACAAGACGTTATTTTGTTATGCCCGCGTAAATGTTTTCCGGTTGCCGTGCCCAGTCGGGAGCGCCGACGCCCTTCCACTAAACCCCCAGTTGCCCCTGGATCGATGATCCTCGGGACGTGCGTTAGCCTAATGTGTTTGCATGTGTGTGTGTGTGTTCCCCCCGGCTCCGCCGATGGTACGCAGCCCGCCCGTGCCGACTCTCGCACGGGCCGCGCCGTTTTGAAGGGCCCCAGTGGACAAACACACGCTGGCGCCATCACACGCTCTCAGGATCATGGACTGGAGCCCCGGTCTGCTTGTCGTGGACCCCTCCCCTGGATCCCCATTTTGTCTCTGGAGCCCCTGTCTGTTGAGGTGCAGCTCCTGGGAGGTTTCTACCCAGCATCGGTGCCGGCACATCCGTGGTAGAAGCCGGCCTTTCCTCTTGCCCAGCCCCGCCTCATCTGGCCCAATCTGGCTCACCCCTGGGCCCATTTTGGCTCTGTCCGGCCCCACGGCCCCCCTTTATCTCAGAGCGTGAATTACCTACCCCGCTTTCGCTTCCAGGCAAAACCAGGTCATACCACGCGCCTCCTCGTCAAGCGGCCTGACCAGTGCAGGCCGTAGTTTGGCATCGCTTGGTATCTCTTGGAAGCGAGGGTGGTCAAAAGCGAGGTAGGTTTGTTTTTTCCTTAGAGACGCCAGGCGCCCGGGGAGGCTCTCCAGCGTTCCCACGAGGCCCTCCCCGGAGTTGCCTCCCGGCTTCTGCTCGGGGTGGAGGGGCGCGTTCTTTGTTTTTTGTTGCCGTGTACCCTCTGGGCCACATCGCGCGTCACGCTCCGCCTCCCCCCCCCTTCGGATGCAACTCCTGGGAGGCCAAGTTCTGGTTTCGCCCTGGTCCGAAATCCGGCTTCATCCAGCTGAATCCAGCTTAATCCCGCTTGCTCCCGTTTCATCCCGCTTAATCCGGCTCAATCCCGCTTGATCTGAGGCCCATTCCGGCGTAACGGCTCCCAAATGGGGCCCAATCCTCCCGAATCTTTCCGACGATAACCTCCCAGCAGTTACCTCCCCCCATGGCATAACGCTCCTCCCCGCCCAGCGCGTGCCGCAGCGCGTCCCAGAGCAGAGAAGAACGGCATAGAATAAACTTTCTCGCCGTCGGGGCCACCCGCCCCCGGGCGGCTGGAAAGCTTCTAACCCTACGGTGCCACCGTGTAAGGGTATAGACTTTCCAGCCGCGCTGAAGCAGGTGTCCCCGACGGCGAGAGAGTTTCTTTTATACCGTCCTTCGCCCGTTCACCGAGGGGGCCGTGGGCTGCCGCCGCGAGTCGACGAGCCCCCCCCCCGCGCGGCGAGGGCCTCCCGGAGCTCGCCCCGCCGGCGCCGCCCGGGGGCGTTGCCGAGAGGGCGCGGCCGCCGCCGCCGCCCAGGCGCGCACCGTGTGGGGGGGCAGAGCAGCGGGACGCGCCGCACGGCTCGGGTCGGGCTGGGCGAAAAGGGGGGGATTGGGAAAGGGGGGGTACGAAATTTGCTGCATGCAGCTGGTTTCGACCTCGCCGAGGGGCCCACTCCTAGATACATGTTCGCCTCCGGCGCCGGGAGGCGCCGGGGAAATCAGCTACGTGAGCTGATTCTCAAACCCCCCCTTTGCTACCCCCCCTTTCGCCCGACCCGATCGGGGGTGGGCTCAAGCAGTCGCGAAGCGTCCTGGCTCGCCTATAGCCCGAATTACCACCACGCAACGTTCTAGGAACCTTCGGTGGTTTCCACGAAGTGTGCTTAGAACATTTCTGGCTGGGACGGTCTTGTTCTGACACATCGGGACTATGTTTTAACACATTAAGTCGGGCCTGTCCCCCCACACGGGGATTTTCGACGAAAAATAAAAGAATATCAAACAAATAGTGAAGAAATGGTCCAAAAATAGTCTGGGGACTATTTTTGAGTATTCTTCGACCGTTTTGGTGCTTTTTTGGTGTATTTCCATTTTTCGATGAAAATCCCCCTGTAGGGGGACGCGCCAGACGTAAGGCTCGGGGGTGGACAGACCTCCCACACCTGTCACGTCGATTCGTGAATGGTCCGCTTTCGGCTCTCGAGAGGGCGCCGCGGCCGCCATGTTCCAGGCTTGCGCCCGCCAGGTTTGGGTCGGCCCTGTCCCCCTACTGGGGGATTTTGGATGAAAATTAAACAATACTCAAAACATATTGAAGAGATGCCCCCAAAGATGCAAAATCAATAGTCCCCAAACTATGGTGTTACTATGTTTGAATATCCCTCGGGACACGCCCGACTTAAACTAACCCACGTTTTACTGAAGGGGGTTCTGTCCATCCCCGAACGGCGCGCCGCGGGCGGGGAGCCCGCGGAACCCTAGGAGCCTGTTCTTCCCAACCATCCTGTGGTGTCGGCTCCTCGTTTTGAAGAGACGGTCCCCTCCTTCCCCCTCCTCCCTCCTCCTTCCCCCTCCTCCCTCCTCC